ATGGAGGATAACCACAAAGCCTAGAAGTTAGCAACTGAGTTTGAATTTGTATTTGCGACAAATTTTGGCGCTCAAACGTTGTTTCGTTTTGCCGTCACTCATTTTCAAAGATTGAGATTTGAGGTGAGCAGAACAAAACAAGATTTAAGCTGAAAAAAGAACAAACAAGACGTAGGTGATGACACCTATACTCCACATATCAACCTCCATACCATACCCCTTTGCGTTGAGCACTTCTGGGGCAACATAAACAGGTGTCCCACATGACGTGATCAACATCTGTGCCTCCTCTGTGATCATTTTAGAAAAGCCGAAATCTGCAATTCTGACATCAGTGTCGTCGTCCATATCTTTGAGCAAAATATTTTCTGGCTTCAAGTCTCTGTGGACAATGTTAAGGGAGTGGAGGTACGCGATCGCGGACACAAGTCTCTTGACGACAAGTTTTGCTTTGTCTTCTTGGTAGTACGTTTTGTTTGAAATCCGGTCGAAGAGTTCGCCACCCCTCACCAAATCAGTGATGATGTATATGCGCCCGTCCTTCCCGTCGATAACTTCATACAATTTGATGATATACGGGTGGTGTACCTTTTTGAGGATGTTTATTTCACCCTCCAACTTTGCTGGGTCACTTTTTGCAGTGTCAATTGCTTTCACAGCAACATACTCGCCAGTAGACTTTTTCTTCGCTTCGTACACGACAGAAAAAGCGCCCTTCCCAATCTCTTTCAATAAGACGTAATCGCCAACCTCTTGCGACATGCACAAATTTTGAGTTTCATTTTGGAGTTTGGCCACATTGACAGGAAAATACTATTCTCCAAAGGTCAACCCTCCTCAAGCAACATCACGGGAAATAGTGGAATTGGATCTGGGGTTGTAAGGCATTTCAATTTATTTGGTATTTTATTATTATCTTTTTTCAAAACACTCAACTACATCTTGTTTCTTGGGGTAATAAAAAAGGGTTTCTTTTTTTGAATGAAATTGGTTATAAAATACATCCTTTGCCCAAAAGAATTATTTTTTAAATTTGTAAAAATAATTAATTGATTTTTTTAACGCTTTACTTCTCGATTTTGTACTAAGAATACGGGTTTTTGATATTTATTTTTTCTTGAAATCCATTCTCCAACAATTCTAATATAATAAACTATAATTTATCACGCTTAACTTGTTTTAAAAATATGACAAATCAAATGATTTTTAATAATATAATTACTATATTTTGATAGTTTTTTGATAATACGAAAAACAAAAAAAACAATCAAAACTGTTGTGGAACAAAAAAGTAACCAGATAACAAGTATTTAAAATGAATGTTTTCTTATAATTTTTTATAAATTAACAATAAAAATTATAACTAAAAATAACAAAATTTTAATAATTATTTTTTAAAAATTTGTTATCTAAAAGTTTTGAACAAAAATTGAACTTTTCATTTTTATTACAAAACAATAACTAAATGGACAGTTTTAAATTTGAAATTATTAACACTTGGTTATAATATAAATAATAAAATTTAATTATAAAGTGTTAATATGAATATTAAAATATATTTAATTAAATAATATATTTGATCACATTAAAAAATGAAAAAAAAAACAATTATTATACTTTATATTATTATAAAAATTTTTTTTTAATAATCGATGTTTAGTAAATTATAATATATAGTATAATATAAAGTATTAACTCGCCGACGTACCTAACCCCCAACTGACCAATACTGCTAAAAAAGACAGTAAGAAAAAAAATTATATTAAAAAGTATAGTTCAATTATAGAAACATAAAAATAAAATAAACAGTTCAAATGACGATCTAAAAAACAAAAAATAAAATATTATTAAAAAAATATTTTTAATTCTAAAACATATATGGTGGCAAAAAACAGTTTTTTGTAAAAGAATAACATTTTTAAAAGAATAATGTTTTAAAAACAAAATCGTGTTATCCTTGTTATTATTATTATTTAAATTAAATGATGAAATATGAACTTGTCAATAACAATTGATTTGGAATAGAAATAACTATAAAAACTTTATTGATATTATTGATGTAACCATTATTGGTTCAAAATTATATTGGGGTATTTTTATTATTATAACATTTAAAAATTATAAAATAATAATTTTGAATAAAAAAATTTCATCTCAAAACAAATAAACAAATCAAACCACACATAAATAATGAGTCAACAACCAAGTCAAACACTAATAGCAAATTCTTTAAATTGGGAAGAATCTGAATTCAACACAACTACACATTCGAACCTTTTGATTAGTCGAGAAG